TTCATGCAGCTTGGACGTGTAGTGATCCTCCTGTCTCAGCCTCCGCAGTGCTAGGATTACAGGCGTGCGCCACCACGCCGGTTTCAATGGCGCGGAATGTGGCCGGGTTTCAAACCGCACTTGTCATGCAGGCGCTTAGACCGCCAAGCCGTCTCCCCAGCCCCCAACACTCACTTTCTTCAAATCCAGCACCTCCCTCCCTGGTTGACTGAATCCCCGGAGCAGAGAACTGAGAAGAGAGAGCGTAACTCCGATGATCCCTGAGCACTAACTGCGCGCCACGCATTGTTCTGTTTTATTGGCATTAATTTATTTAAACATAAGAAATAGAGCAACACTCCAACAAGGAGGAAGGGAAAAGTACACAGGGAGTACCTTAAAGTTACCCAACTTCGCTCCCACTCAGGGCGGTACTGCAGAGGTGGCCGGCGGCCACGTGGGCCAAAAGCCAAGGTGCAAAGGTGCAAACTCCGAGACCCTGAGGTAGGAGGGGCTCAGAGAAGTCTTCCCGGGGGCGCAGCCACGACTACGTGCGTGGGTTTTGTTTTGTTGTTCTACTTTAGAGGCGAAACCCATTTTGTAGCTTTGAAAGGTAAAGTGATTTGAAAAGTGATGTCACTGAGGGAAACTAGTCAGAAGCAGCGACCCAGGACACTGCCTACCAGACTACCAGGTTTCTACTTTACACAACTACGGAGTGAAGCAAAAGAGGTAATCGTCTCTCCTCCTTAAAAAACACGCGAGGGCACAAGGCCAACCAAACGCCTGAGCATTAACCGTCATTGAAGCAACAGGTAACTTCTCTAGGGCGCAGCACACCGGCGCAGTACGCACGCGCAGCGCATGCGCACACCTGTAGGGGGCGTGTCTTCCTTGCGGAGTCCGCCCCGCGCGGGTTGGCCGCCCACTCACCGAGTCGTTATCTACGTCCCCGAGGCAGATCGCGTGAGGAAAAAGGCTCCCACTAAATTCCATCGCTGCGCGCTGCACAAAGCTAACTGACCTCATGGCATTTCCAGGGTCGAGAACAGAGGCGCCCTGCTGAATGGTCCCCAAACCGCTACCCGACACCGCGCCAGCAGAACGGGAACCTAAAGATGAAAGTTACAGCACCGCGGAACGGTCTAACCTAGGCCATACTCCATCATCCCGGAGGGGCGGGACTTCCGGTCCCTAACATGAGTGACAGGGCAACGGACCGCTCGTTCATCAGGGGTGTGGCGCGAGCCGAGCCCAGCCTGGCGCCGCCCCTGAGTGCCTGGGGGCTTGGTCCCTACCAAGTTTGGCTTGGGTGTATCCTTCAGAATCATGGTAACAGTAATCCTAATAACTAACAATCGTATGGTTTCTTTTTTTTGCTCCGAATGCCTTCAGGGCAGGTTTGGCTGGCTTGAGTTGTGGGGATCGAACCACAGCAACCTGAGCCTGACTGCTTTGTTGAAGCAGCCACTTAA